TTTGCACAAGGAGTCTTTTCAATGCTCCCACTCTGGCCAATGTGCCCCACACACCAATTCCCAGTTAGTTTTATCACTGTTCCTTTTTCTTCTAAGGGGATGTTCCGTTTCGACGTGTACTTTATCTATTCTCGTTCACATCTCCATTTAGGCCGAAGCTAATCATTCTCAGTCGCAAAAGAACGAAGATATCGATTTCTTCAATGATATGCAGCCAACATTAAGAAAGCGAAAAAGGTTAAGCGTTAGATCTTAATCTTCTCTCTTCCAGTTTTCCTTTCTGAAGAACTCGAAGTTTCCTTCTCAGGTGGTGTTAAAGCCGAAAGTTCCCCAACATGCCCGTGAAAATCGGAACCTGTTTGGTTTCTCAGAGGAAGCAAATGTAGAGGTGAGATGACATGAAAATAAATTCTTTATTGCTTTTAGTACACATGCAAAACGACAAGTGAAATTGAGAAATATCCGTGCTAATAGACATTATGAGATATGGCTGTTGAGTTTTCGGCTGAAACAGTCCAGACCTTGTCGAATCTCTTGTGTTGTGCAGCCTTTGTGCTGAGAGCAGCTTCGTTGGTCTGAAGTAGTTGGATAAAATGTACATTTCATAAGGGAACTTTGCTCCTCTGTAAAGGCTACGTTCATATTTTGCGTCACCGTTTTTAGCGTTTCGCGGGTAGTTTCAAACATTTCGCGGGAGTAGCTGAAGGCGCTCGGGCACGCACAAAACGCTAGATTTACTTTCCTAGTCACTCAAAACGCCGTACGATCGAAACGCTGATGCAAAGTATAAAGGCAGTCTAAAAGGAAGATTTTGAGCCTTTCCCCCCTCCCCCCATCTGAATAGAGCCATTGGGTTACATTCGCCCAAATCTCTAGTGCGCTTTCTCTCCCCTTATTATTTTCTTTGGCCCTGAGATTCATGTCCGGTTACCGTGGTATTCCGCTCTTCGAGCCTGGTCCCACTTCTTGAGTCACTGATTTTGGAGTATTAAACTGTCCCGGAGTCTATTCATCTGAATGTGTGAGAACAATGTGAAACTCCAATGTTGTTTCAAAAAACTCAAAAAAATCACAAGTCTCGAAAGTTTTTTGTACTCCTGAGACTTCTGATGTCTTTTTAGTTTTTTGAAATAAACGTTTTAGTTTCGCATTGTTCTCACACATTCACTAATTTTAGTTCATTTTGTGACAGGATGCTCTTTAAAGGTTAAAAGGGGTTCCTGGGGAGAAAATGTTTTTTTTTTCGAAAGAGCATCTTCGCGCATGAAGAGTTACGAGTCACGCTCATTGCATATCAACATGTATTGTCATGGTATAACCTTACCAAGGCTTCAGTAACTCTGTCAAAGACTAGCGCCTGGGAAACTGATACTAGTCACTTACTAGTGTATTTTCCACTTCCTTTATGCAATCCGGGTTCGCAGCTAGGACTCTCCTTTTTTGTTTACAGCCATCCTTGAATTCTGCCTTGAATTTCCTTTCCGCATTCACCTAGAAAAATCAAGTCCTTGAAATGCCTAGATACTTCAGAAACTTAAACATTTAAACTAAGCAACTACTTCGTTGTACTACTGCCGTAATTATTCTATGCTTCACGATAGAACAGCTCACATCTCATTTTCGTGTTCTACGACCAGTCATGGACTGACCTGGTCTCAGGATCTCAAAAGCGCGCCCTAGTAAATTCCAAGCTAATTTGAACTCACTTTGTGCTAGTGTCTCACAGTCACCGGCAGCTTTATCATCGCCTGCTGTCTTCACAGCTTCTAGAGCTTTTGGTAGTGTGACTGGTTTCGGTTCAACCTTTGGCTCGAGGCGCTCAAGTTTTTGTTGAATCACATTGAATCTTCTCAACTCAGCGTCACTCATTTTCTGTAAATCATAAATAGAAATCAGGGAGCTTCTGCGTTACGGTTCCTATTGAAGATTGCCGCTGATGGATATTCGGACAAGAATGGTACAGGTGAAAGGTGCCCAATCTGGTCGCCATGAGGGGGAGTTGGTGGGGGTGGGGGGGTGAACAGATGGTTCAGACACTCACCTCGCGTTACAGTGATCTATTTCTGTCTGATATTGGCAGCTTCCAAGTGACATCAACTCTTGAGCTGCCATCTCGCTTCCATGTTCACAATCTCTGAGTTTGATTATTCGATTATTTACAAGGCAGGTGCAAAACAACAAGTTTTTTTTCTACTGAAAGGAAATGATAACCGCGCGTTGATTGTGTCTTATGTCGGAGTATTGCGAGACGAGTTGGGATCTCTTGCGCGGTCGGTTTTTTCTGGGTAAAATTCAGGATTGGTGGGGTCGTGGGTAAATTAGCTAGTTTCATTGGCTAGGTGACTCCACACAGCACTGTTGAAGCCAAATCAATAGGCCATGGCAGTGTGCGTCCTATGCAGTTCATTCCATGCCCTTATCTCGAGAAATTCGACAATTAGTAAATTGCTTCGTTCCATCTCAAGTTTTCCGAATTGCTGTTAGATCACCTTTATTACTCAGCAGTTTGAAGACACACCGACACCACATCTGCAACCACTTGAAAGTGCACGGAAAGGAAGTTGGTAGGTTTTGATGACTGGGTGACGTTTTGGACTCCACCCGCTACCCACAACGAGCGTATGTGCGTCAATGCCGAGGTCACGCACCAAACAACATGAAAGACCAATTGCCATCGCTCCAGAGCATGTAAACATCCAAAGATAAGAGGGTGCAGACAACTAGCGCGTTGGGCTATAGTCGTGCGTCTGCCCGGTTGTGTGGCACTTGCGTCTACGTGCTGACTGTTGGTAGAGTCCGCAGCGGTATCTGTCTCTAATATTTAGCCTCACTTCGGCGCACGTTTGGATGACGAAAGTGTAATGGGTCAGTTCTAGGTTTCTAGTGGCGAGGGGTCAAAGATGTGACCTTGGGAGGTTGTCTCATCTCGTCACGAGCTACGAAATGTTCCATTTTGTCGGTGTCCGGGACCAGTTGGAATTGTGGCCAATTTGATCATGTAGCTAAGCGCTTCTGTAATGCAGAGGAGGTGCGACACTCCCACGAGGAGGATAAACTGGCAAAGATGCTTCAAATTGTTGGAGAATGATTGAGTGAGGAACGGAAGTGAATGAAGTTACGGCAAAGGTAGCTGAGATGTGAGGCGGCGGGACGACCAGTCACATCTTTTCGAAGCTTTGGAATTAGTGCATATGCCGCTTCTTGTCGCTGTGACTCTCCTCTCTCCCCCTGGAGTTTTTTGCGGAGGGCAAGCAAGTAGATTAGGTTTTTGTCATTGACTCAGGTGACATGGGCGCAAGGTTTAGGACTCCGGACCAAGGTAGGGTAAAAAGATAAGGGTTAAATGCAGAGGTACGATCGCGATGGCGCTCGGTTTTGCCACTGTCATTGATGTAAGGGCTGAGTAGAGTGTGGCCAAACGCCCTCTCGCAGCCCTTATTTCCACCACCCCCCGGCCCGCCCGCCCCCCCCCACCAATAGCGCTAGAAACGACCGCCAGCCCCAACAAGCGTGCCCACCGCCTTAAATGTTGCAATGTTTGCCCATTCGTGAGGAAATCGCTGAATCAAGCCTTGGGTGGCTGCCAGAGTGATGGAGAGAGTTGCGTATTTTTTTTGAACACATGCAATTCGGCTGTAATACATGGCGCACCTCATTATTGAACAGGGCACACTGTATCATTTGTTATCCTCGCACCTGCATCCCCAATCGTTAGGCTGAGAGGGTGAAAGGCGGCTTCAGTGGTATAGTGCTTAGCCTAGTAGCTGGGTAAGCATGAGGTGCAGATTGTGTTTTTTTTGGAGTACTGTCTGTGGTCAATTCCACTGCCACTCTTTAGCATTTCTTGTGATAGATTGAAGCCCAGTGGGAGTGATGGCTTGGGGGGGGGGGGCGGTTGGTGCCAGTGTCATTGGTGGAAGGGTTGCGAGAGGGTGTTTGGCCACATTGTACTGCGCTCTTCCACCAATGACGTTAGCAGCAACTGCCCGCCCCAGGCATCGTGCCCACTGCTTATGAGTCAGTGTTTATCATTGCGAAACTGAACCTGATGTAGTGATTTGGGGCTAGCACGGGATTGGTGCGAATTGAAGGTCCGAGAACAGCAATAGATTCTGTATCCCTCCATACGCATTTTTCCGTCCCTGCTTCATACTGAAAATGCGAGGAGTGAGGGGGGGGAAGGGGGGGTGGGATGGGGGGTGTCAAGAGAAGTGATCTCTAAATTGGAGTGCATAGGGCGTTGGGAGGTTATCAAACTTCTTCGGTGATAAGGCACGTAATTTCTGCTGGCGCGACCTTGAACGAGCTGTACCAAAAGAAGGGCGGGCGGGCTACGCGGAAAATTGACTCGTGTGCTGGTGTGATGTCCCGGGTATTAGATTCTTCTAGGTCCAAACGATCTACCCCAGTAGGCAAATTTTCAGCCAAATCTGCCCTCGTAGGAAAAAGTGGGTAAAAAACCGACCTGATTTCGGAAGGCTGAGGTTGGAATAGTCAATGGTGCCTTTAACCCATTACTGCCGCAGTATGCGAAAAGAAGCGTGAGAGAGAAGCTTTGGGGGGATTCAATTTCTTTGTATAAAAAAAGGAGGATTCGCGTAGTGATTGTCCCAGTTTTGCACAAGGAGTCTTTTCAATGCTCCCACTCTGGCCAATGTGCCCCACACACCAATTCCCAGTTAGTTTTATCACTGTTCCTTTTTCTTCTAAGGGGATGTTCCGTTTCGACGTGTACTTTATCTATTCTCGTTCACATCTCCATTTAGGCCGAAGCTAATCATTCTCAGTCGCAAAAGAACGAAGATATCGATTTCTTCAATGATATGCAGCCAAACATTAAGAAAGCGAAAAAGGTTAAGCGTTAGATCTTAATCTTCTCTCTTCCAGTTTTCCTTTCTGAAGAACTCGAAGTTTCCTTCTCAGGTGGTGTTAAAGCCGAAAGTTCCCCAACATGCCCGTGAAAATCGGAACCTGTTTGGTTTCTCAGAGGAAGCAAATGTAGAGGTGAGATGACATGAAAATAAATTCTTTATTGCTTTTAGTACACATGCAAAACGACAAGTGAAATTGAGAAATATCCGTGCTAATAGACATTATGAGATATGGCTGTTGAGTTTTCGGCTGAAACAGTCCAGACCTTGTCGAATCTCTTGTGTTGTGCAGCCTTTGTTGCTGAGAGCAGCTTCGTTGGTCTGAAGTAGTTGGATAAAATGTACATTTCATAAGGGAACTTTATTCCTCTGTAAAGGCTACGTTCATATTTTGCGTCACCGTTTTTAGCGTTTCGCGGGTAGTTTCAAACATTTCGCGGGAGTAGCTGAAGGCGCTCGGGCACGCACAAAACGCTAGATTTACTTTCCTAGTCACTCAAAACGCCGTACGATCGAAACGCTGATGCAAAGTATAAAGGCAGTCTAAAAGGAAGATTTTGAGCCTTTCCCCCCTCCCCCCATCTGAATAGAGCCATTGGGTTACATTCGCCCAAATCTCTAGTGCTTTCTCTCCCCTTATTATTTTCTTTGCCCTTGAGATTCATGTCCGGTTACCGTGGTATTCCGCTCTTCGAGCCTGGTCCCACTTCTTGAGTCACTGATTTTGGAGTATTAAACTGTCCCGGAGTCTATTCATCTGAATGTGTGAGAACAATGTGAAACTCCAATGTTGTTTCAAAAAACTCAAAAAAATCACAAGTCTCGAAAGTTTTTTGTACTCCTGAGACTTCTGATGTCTTTTTAGTTTTTTGAAATAAACGTTGGAGTTTCGCATTGTTCTCACACATTCACTAATTTTAGTTCATTTTGTGACAGGATGCTCTTTAAAGGTTAAAAGGGGTTCCTGGGGAGAAAATGTTTTTTTTTCGAAAGAGCATCTTCGCGCATGAAGAGTTACGAGTCACGCTTCATTGCATATCAACATGTATTGTCATGGTATAACCTTATCAAGGCTTCAGTAACTCTGTCAAAGACTAGCGCCTGGGAAAGCCTTCATATCGAAACTGATACTAGTCACTTACTAGTGTATTTTCCACTTCCTTTATGCAATCCGGGTCGCAGCTAGGACTCTCCTTGCAGCATCCTTGAATTCTGCCTTGAATTTCCTTTCCGCATTCACCTAGAAAAATCAAGTCCTTGAAATGCCTAGATACTTCAGAAACTTAAACATTTAAACTAAGCAACTACTTCGTTGTACTACTGCCGTAATTATTCTATGCTTCACGATAGAACAGCTCACATCTCATTTTCGTGTTCTACGACCAGTCATGGACTGACCTGGTCTCAGGATCTCAAAAGCGCGCCCTAGTAAATTCCAAGCTAATTTGAACTCACTTTGTGCTAGTGTCTCACAGTCACCGGCAGCTTTATCATCGCCTGCTGTCTTCACAGCTTCTAGAGCTTTTGGTAGTGTGACTGGTTTCGGTTCAACCTTTGGCTCGAGGCGCTCAAGTTTTTGTTGAATCACATTGAATCTTCTCAACTCAGCGTCACTCATTTTCTGTAAATCATAAATAGAAATCAGGGAGCTTCTGCGTTACGGTTCCTATTGAAGATTGCCGCTGATGGATATTCGGACAAGAATGGTACAGGTGAAAGGTGCCCAATCTGGTCGCCATGAGGGGAGTTGGTGGGGGGGGGGGGTGAACAGATGGTTCAGTACACTCACCTCGGCGTTACAGTGATCTCTTTCTGTCTGATATTGGCAGACTTCCAAAGTGACCTCAACTCTTGAGCTGCCATCTCGTTCCATGTTCACATCTCTGAGTTTGATTATTCGATTATTTACAAGGCAGGTGCAAAACAACAAGTTTTTTTTCTACTGAAAGGAATGATAACCGCGCGTTGATTGTGTCTTATGTCGGAGTATTGCGAGACGAGTTGGGATCTCTTGCGCGGTCGGTTTTTTCTGGGTAAAATTCAGGATTGGTGGGGTCGTGGGTAAATTAGCTAGTTTCATTGGCTAGGTGACTCCACACAGCACTGTTGAAGCCAAATCAATAGGCCATGGCAGTGTGCGTCCTATGCAGTTCATTCCATGCCCTTATCTCGAGAAATTCGACAATTAGTAAATTGCTTCGTTCCATCTCAAGTTTTCCGAATTGCTGTTAGATCACCTTTATTACTCAGCAGTTTGAAGACACACCGACACCACATCTGCAACCACTTGAAAGTGCACGGAAAGGAAGTTGGTAGGTTTTGATGACTGGGTGACGTTTTGGACTCCACCCGCTACCCACAACGAGCGTATGTGCGTCAATGCCGAGGTCACGCACCAAACAACATGAAAGACCAACTGCCATCGCTCCGGAGCATGTAAACATCCAAAGATAAGAGGGTGCAGACAACTAGCGCGTTGGGCTATAGTCGTGCGTCTGCCCGGTTGTGTGGCACTTGCGTCTACGTGCTGACTGTTGGTAGAGTCCGCAGCGGTATCTGTCTCTAATATTTAGCCTCACTTCGGCGCACGTTTGGATGACGAAAGTGTAATGGGTCAGTTCTAGGTTTCTAGTGGCGAGGGGTCAAAGATGTGACCTTGGGAGGTTGTCTCATCTCGTCACGAGCTACGAAATGTTCCATTTTGTCGGTGTCTGGGACCAGTTGGAATTGTGGCCAATTTAATCATGTAGCTAAGCGCTTCTGTAATGCATGAGGAGGTGCGAGACTCCCATGAGGAGGATAAACTGGCAAAGATGCTTCAAATTGTTGGAGAATGATTGAGTGAGGAACGGAAGTGAATGAAGTTACGGCAAAGGTAGCTGAGATGTGAGGCGGCGGGACGACCAGTCACATCTTTTCGAAGCTTTGGAATTAGTGCATACGCCGCTTTCTTGTCGCTGTTACTTTTTTTCAAGAGCTCGCCACAGGCTGGATTTCTTGCGAGGCAAGCAAGTAGATTAGGGTTTGTTGTCATGACTCAGGTGGGCGCAAGGTTTGGGACTCCGGACCAAGGTAGGGTAAAAAGATAAGGGTTAAATGCAGAGGTACGATCGCGATGGCGCTCGGTTTTGCCACTGTCATTGATGTAAGGGCTGAGTAGAGTGTGGCCAAACGCCCTCTCGCAGCCCTTCCACCAATAGCGCTAGAAACGACCGCCAGCCCCAACAAGCGTGCCCACCGCCTTAAATGTTGCAATGTTTGCCCATTCGTGACGAAATCGCTGAATCAAGCCTTGGGTGGCTGCCAGAGTGATGGAGAGAGTTGCGTATTTTTTTTGAACACATGCAATTCGGCTGTAATACATGGCGCACCTCATTATTGAACAGGGCACACTGTATCATTTGTTATCCTCGCACCTGCATCCCCAATCGTTAGGCTGAGAGGGTGAAAGGCGGCTTCAGTGGTATAGTGCTTAGCCTAGTAGCTGGGTAAGCATGAGGTGCAGATTGTGTTTTTTTTTGGAGTACTGTCTGTGGTCAATTCCACATAGACTGAAGCCAGTGGGAGTGATGGCTTGGGGGGGGGGGCGGTTGGTGCCAGTGTCATTGGTGGAAGGGTTGCGAGAGGGTGTTTGGCCACATTGTACTGCGCTCTTCCACCAATGACGTTAGCAGCAACTGCCCGCCCCAGGCATCGTGCCCACTGCTTATGAGTCAGTGTTTATCATTGCGAAACTGAACCTGATGTAGTGATTTGGGGCTAGCACGGGATTGGTGCGAATTGAAGGTCCGAGAACAGCAATAGATTCTGTATCCCTCCATACGCATTTTTCACGTCCCTGTTCATCTGAAAATGCGAGGATTTGTGGTCAAGGAAATGATCTCGAAATTGAGTGATCGTTGAGGTTTCGAACTTCTTCGGTCATAGCCTAATATTCTCTGCAGACTTGAACACGTGAAAAAGGTAGCACATTATCGTGTGTGTGTGTGTCCGGTATTATTTCTTCTAGTCAACCGGATATTTTCACCCATCTTCGCCGGGGGTTTTTGTGACTTCTAGGACATGTTTGCCTTTTTTAGCCTTTCACAAATGAGCGATTGTCTGTGAACGTAACGTGTGATTCGATCCATCAAGGAGATCCCCAGGATAATCAATAACTTATGGGTGTTAATTTAATTGAGTGCATATCTATCTGTCGACTATTTAATTAATTTAGTTGAATATAATAACTGAGCAAAGTTCAGCAACTAACCGGTTTCAAGTCGTGTTGCCATAGATGCGCAACAAAGAACCATAAGAGATTTGGTACTGATCAGTAGGCCGGAGACGAATGTTCGTCGCCCATGGAATGCTGGGAATGAGGCATGTGAAGAGCAATTCTTACGCCATTCGCATTGTGTCGCACAATGGTAGGGAATGAAACGAGCACATATAGCCTAGAAGTGAACCAGATTGAATGAGGTCTTCTGGAAGAGGTGAAATAGTCGTTCAAATCACTTACATTATTGGATTCATAGCTGAACAGTTTTTGACCAACGTAACATTGAACGGCGGCGTAGGCAATAGTTGGAAGAAGAAGTGCACAGAGAAATCGTAACATTCTGAAATGTACAAGTAATGAGAGGCAGTATCGCGAGTGCAAGTGAACGTTTTTAATGTCTACAAGTAGAGTCATGCAGTTATGGTGATAGAATTTATTTATTGCTGGAGTAACCCAGCCAACAGGCAATAAAGATAAGTGAGAGATATATGAGTTGTAGGAATATGAGTGTAGAGATGAAACACTATGCGACATTCGTAGACGAGCTGGAGTTATGCGTTTGCTGCCCTAGCATCTCACTGAGTGGGCGTGTCGCGACGGTTTTCGCTACCTTCGGAAAATCGCTTATAACGATCGCTGCTAGCATCACACCGTCACCAGCGTGTCGTTTGGTTTTTTTTTTCTGTGAACGATGAAGGAAGAGGATGGCTAGATGATCTGAGATGTCCTTTGAAGAGAGTGATATACACAACCTCAGAAAGCTCAGAAGTGGAATTGTGAGGTCAACCTCATTTCTAAGGCTCGATATATATGGGTAGACGAGTGGCATTCAGGCGAAATATGGCGATAGATGAAGTTCTATTAAAGAAAACCAGCTTTCGATGCGGATTGTTTTCGCTAGGTAGTGATGTATAAAACATGGGGTCGCAATTAACCTCACTCAGGCTCGCCGTATGGGGGGTATAATCGTTGGCGTGGTGAAGATGTGTGGTCTGAGAAAGTTCCGGACTGTGAAAGGTGTGTGTGCGTGGGCGGCGGAGAGAATTCTGTAGAGATGGCCCTTGTGGATTTCTCATACACATCACATGTGTGTAGATTTCACGTCGTTGGTGATCGCAATCGCTGTCAACGGTGCGATTTATAGCATCCGCTTAAAATGTCGCCAGTGTGGTGGATAAGGCGGAATATTGGAGACGTTCAGGTGAGAAGCACACATTGTTCTTTTTTCCAAATCAAATTATTATTAATGACTGAAAATGAACAGCAAGCAGTCAGCACGACTATAAGATACGGTAATGATACGTTCAGAAGAAGGCTTAGACTTCTTGCAGTCGTATGGCGTCAAGTGAGAATGGACCCATCTAATGTGCTATTTAAAAAGGTGGCGCCCCAATCAAAGTCCTACGCGGCAAACATCTGTAGACGGTTTTTTCACGACAAAAACCTCAATTGCGATGACCTTTTGTCTGCTCCCTGGGATCTTTATTAGAAAGTGTTACAGCAACTGTCGGTCTCGTTGAGTCACTGTCTATTTGACGCAGCTGGTTCATCGGTGTTCTACTCGCGGGGTTACACCTTGTCAAAAAGACATTTGGTCCTTGGATTGCATAGGTTCAAAGGAGCTAATCACCGTGTATGGGGCTGAAACCAGCGATACAGTTTATCGTTGAAATCGCCTTCTGATAGCTCACTAGCATCTGAATATCCCTTGGTGAATAGCCGCAGCATGTTGATCAAATACCTTTAACCAACTAGGAAGTAATTTTTGAAGCCTTGATTAAACTATAGTTAGTTATTAGAGAGGGTGGTGGCCAATCAGAGCAGTACGCTAAGGAATCCTCAAGAGGGGTCGTATTTGGTGACTGGAAGTTATGCCGTAGTTGGCCTGAGAAATATTGTCGTCGATAGTTCATTTTTCCAGCTTCAGGCGCGCTATCCAGTCGTTGTGAGACTCCTTTTGAGGTGAACGTATCAGCTCGACCCTTTGAGGAGGTGAGGGGGAGGGGTCATATCAGGCCTCAACGAAATTTTCGGTTGTCAGCTTTTCGCGCTTTTTCCCGTTTCCCCTGTGTTATATACACCTAGTCTAGCTAGCGGCGTAGCGAAGGTTCTATACATCTACTATTTCCATTAGTTGAATCAAGTATTCGTTCAGAGACTCTTCCTACCCCTCCCCCCCTGTAGGACCAACTGCTCTTTTTTGAAGACCGACTAGAATTTTGGAAAATCAGTAAGGTGATAGTTAGAAGGGGGAAATGGTCGTACTCTAGGGGGAGATTGAGAGGAGGGAGGAGGTTGTTCTGGTAAAATTTTCAGTAGCGACTTGACGTGCACTGTGGCCAGTGCATAGTAAATGTAGGTTTGTCCGTGAATATCTCTTTTTTTGCAAACGCCTAAATTTTCAACCTGTTGTTCATTGTGCGAATAGGTTTTTTTTGGTGCCGGAAGGAGGTTTGCCCGCGGGGTCTGGAATAGTTCATTGTTTTTAGAACGTTTTCTTTCCAGTAGCCCACGTCTTGTACAGTTGTTTGTGGCAATCCCACTTGTGCGAGGTGTTCTTTGTATATCCCCCTAGCGTACGTGCTGCCAGTAGGTGTTCAACTCTAACTTGTGATGAGCTCTCGTTAAGGAAGGCGCATTTACAGGGATAGGTAGCTTTTGTAAATTCAGTCCGGGAGCTGTTCGCCAGGAAGGGTCTGATCATTTTACCCGATGGGAGGCTTCGTGAATTCAGGGGCTGAAAGTGGTCTGGAATGTGAATATGGGCGTTGGATCACCACTATAGAGCACTGCAACTTTTTGGGATTATGCATTTGACTGTCCAGGACTAGACTGTGCGACAGCAGAGGCACTGTCGGTATCTTAGAAAGCAGTAAAGTCAGGGGGATCATCGCGTGTACCCAAAAGGTCGCTCCAACTATGTAACGTTGTACGCGGTGCCACGGAGCACCTTATCTCAGGGACAAATAATTTTACATGAGAAAATCTGGGATTCATATGAGCAAAGGTTACTCTTTAAAATTTTCCAAAACTTGCAAAAACTCAGCGAGTTCCGTCAAATTAGAGAGCAGGTTTCTGTTTGATTAGTGCTTTAGGTCCAAAAAGTGAATTGAGTTGGGAATACAGCACCAGTTCGTGTTTTACTGTAATTATAAGGTTGTCAATCATTGAAACTGCTAATTCCGGTCCAGGAGATGTCGATCTGAGTTCGACTAAGATGTAAGGTACACTGCGACTACAGCAATGAGTATGATGCTTCACCTTCAATTCCCTTTGTGTACGTCACTGGTTTTCTTGGCAATATGCACCCACCCAGCATAAAAGGAACCGGTTAGCGGGTTATACGATATCAGATGTTCAGTTTCTGACGGTCGCAAATACCTTAGTAATGCTAATGATAAATATGGCTTGTGTTAGGTTCGGTCTACGTTGGACGATCAAAAATCGTTCTACTGACAGTGATGAAGCGGGCAAGGTGCCACAAAGGAGTTCATGTGTCTGCGACATTTTCGGATGTTCTTGTTACTATCGTTGATCGCGGCGATATGGACGGTGGTGGTGGGGGTTCTGTTTACGCTGGATTAGATACGATATCGAGAGCGATAACCATAGGAAACCGAATCGCTCTAATGTATCGGATAGCCCGTCGGCGATGGTCGCGGCTGTGATGAAGGTGATGACGACGAGGATGGTGTCATTCAAGCGTGAGGGTTTTTTAGAAGGTATCCAGATTTGCGTGCAGCATCGTCGATGTTCAGATAAATTTCCGCCATTGCTAAGATCGCGTGGATGAGAAAAAGCGAACGTAAACGGTCATATGTGGTTTTCTTTCCCCACTTCTTGGTACATCCTTCAAATAGGGTATTTATGAGGTACTAGATGCGGTGGTAGTTTTCGGTAGTTTCATAGTTGTTGATTGAAAAAGGGCATTCGTAGGGCATGTTAAACATGCTTGACTCGCGCTCTAGGTGTCGCGCTCGCTCTCAATAACGGACACTCACATGAGGGGAGAAGTCTTTGTTGGTATCTGATCGCTCAGAATAAATGAGCCGAAATTTGATACTGATTGGTCCGGGTCTTCATCAAAGTTCTGAGGTGTTCTCAGCAATGTAGCTAGTTAAATAAAGACAGCTCCCGCGATCAAGTATTATGGATAATGGATGTTCACTTACAAAGCAATAGCTGATAAGTGATTCTTCAAAGAAGAAAGCAGCAAGGGTCCCCAAGATTACCTTAAAAGCACGGTCCGGACAAACTAAGGCTAGAATGTCTTGAAAGTGCAGTATGACCAAGTAGACAACCGCAGAGGCTGTACTACGTTAATTAAAAAGGTGAAAACTGGCAAGAAAAAAGCAGGGCGGGCAGATTTTAGGCCCATGGGCGCCCACTAGGCCCATGCCGGCCTACGTCGCCCCTGTCCTCGTGACGACGCCATGGTTTTCTCTCCCGCCGTTTTCTGGTTTCTCTCTTTTCTCAGTGTATGGTTGCCTTTTGCAAATCACAATTGATCTTGACCATCTTATGCTCGTCCGGTGATCACGATCAATTGCAATAAAGAGGGTCTTATTGCGGGCGGTTTTCGTGCTTCCTTCTTCTTCAATTAGTCAACTAAAACACGGTAATCCTATTTTTTAACTGTATTACCTACGATGTGCGCTCGTGAAATTTGCCTTTAAACAAAATCGCTACATAACAGTTACACCGCCCTGCGGTCTCTCTGCAACCCCTGGCTTACAAATCGCTTTTCCGCACCTTTCAGCACTGAATGCCTTCCATTGTTAAGAAAATAAAACGAAAAACAACGAAGACACTGCAGTAAAACTCATACCGGAAAGTAACTTCCGAAAACTCTGCGTACGAATTTAGGATTACGGTAGGCAATGCACGTCGCACTTTTGCACCTACCAGTTGCATTACTGGTGATTTGAAGAAGTCTTAACTTGCAAGATGGATTGCTGTGGAGTGTACGCTCCTAATGACCGAAAGTACTATAGGAATTCCTAATGACGAAAAAATACTGAAAGGGAGCAGAATTACTTATGAGCGCAAGCGCGGTCTGCAAAAATGAACACCCTGTCGGATTGATGCTCGCCGCTCCAACAAAGAACAACTGAACGCTACTGCGTCGGGTGTGAAGAGGACGTTCGTTAGATGGGCGGCCCAACTTAGCGGGTGTCTAAACTAGAATTTTTAAGGTAGCAACCCCCCCCCCCTCCTCATTGTGGAGTCGCGAAAGTGGGACAGTATCTAAGTTTGAGGGCTGGCATGCTTGCAGAAGGAATGACGACTACGAACTGCTTGTGCGCTGGGTTTGCCTTTAAATGCTATTTCCCTTTAGG